GTGTTGTTTTGCAGGATTTTCATCCTTGAACAGGATCCAGAGCAGCAAAGGAAAGGTGAAAGTCAGAATTTAGAGGGAACGATCTATCAGAGACATATATGGGAGAGTGCTGAAATGGCCCCAGAGGGCTTTGCTCCTTCTGTTGGTCCTCACAGCCTAGGAACTCTGGGGTTGTTGTTGTTTTTTTTGTTTTGTTTTTTGTTTGTTTTTGAGACAGGATTTCCACGTAGCTATAAAGCCTGTCCTGTAACTAGCTCTTTTAGACCAGGCTGGCCTTGAACTCACAGGGATCCACCTGCCTCTGCTGGGATTAAAGGCATGTGCCACCACTGCCTGGTGGCCTAGGAACTTTGACGCTCTTCCACAACAGAAGGAAGGAGGGCGGGACTGGCTTCAAGAAGGGCCTTTCCAGCAGGGGTAGGAAAAGCTGGACAGAGAGTGGATTCAATGATCTGTTTGTTCTGCCTTACTGGTGTAGAACTTTAAGATAATTCTGAAGCCATTTCTGACAACTCTCAGTCTCAGCAGTAATGCTCCTCCTTTCCCCCCTGAGAAACAAGGACCTAACAACCACACATGCACTACTGAAATGTTGGGAACGTCCATCATCTCCCTGAGTCCTTGTGAATATTCTCAGATAGAACTCAGTTATTGACTAGGGCCAAGATAGATAACCCTTAGTGTTGACTCAGTGACTGATGTTTTGACTTAGGCCCTGGGAAGGGGGCAAAGTGATCCTCAGATGTTTTCCCTTACCTCATCTGATCTGACAGCCACTCTCCAGCCAATTATTGGTAATAGCCCTTTTGAATAAGCCAATCATAATAGTTAAAGAACAACCCCCAGACACCCCTTCCTTCTGTGGTTTTTCCCTTTAAAAATAGCCTGTACCAGCCATTCCGGGTCTTCTAGCCTCCCGACTGCTGGAAGACCCTGCCATGACAGAATTAATAAAATCCTCATGCTTTTACATTAAAAGACTTTGGGGCGCCTTAGCACTACTGCACCCCCTTCCTGGGAACAGGGCACCTTAGTGCCACTGCACCCCCCTTCCTGGGAACAGGGCACCTTAGTGCCACTGCACCCCCCTTCCTGGGAACCTATCGCCTTACTACTACTGCACCCCCCTTCCTGGGAACAGGGCACTTTAGCGCTACTGCACCCCCCTCCCTGGGAACCAGGACCCAGGTAACCAACCAAGTGTGCACTGGAGCTTTGAGTACTTTCCATCCCCATTGTAGTCTTTCTTCTATAGACCCAGACCCTGGAACTGGGATGAGACGACCTACAGGTGATCCTGCTTGTAATCGCCATACCATTGATCAATTAGAGTTAGCTGACCATTGAATGAACTAGTCAAAATGGTTGACAAATGATTTCTGGACTTTCCTTTTGATTCTGTACCACCGCCTCCCTGATTCTGTGATGTTTTTCCTTTAAAAGAGCCTGTAATAGACAAAGCCGGGGTCCTTCTCCTCTCGAGGCTAAGGGACCTCTGCCCTGACAGAATAAAAATCCTCTTGCTATTGCGTCAACCGTGCTGAGAGTGTCTCTTGGGGCGACCTCCTCCTTGGTGGGGCTTTAGGGCCCAACAACATCAGCTGTAAGAGATGGTCTCTTGGGGTGACTCCTCCTCTTCGGTGATTGGACGCTAGGGTCCAACACTGGAAGCCCTTCTTTAAAGCAAGAGGAGGTGAGAACCTCTGAAATTATAAGACTTTAAGACATTTCTGAACCCTCTCAGCCTTCGTGCCTTGGTGCTTCCCCTCCTCCCCTGGGAATCAAGGACCTAACAGCTACACATGCATGTATGTTCTCCAGAAATTGGGGCAAAATAACCTTTAAGATGTTGACTCAGTTCCTGAACAATTACCCATACACGTATGCTTTGATTTAGTCCCCTGGGGAACGGGGTCAAAATGACCTCTTACCTCATCTGATCTGACAATAGCTCTCCAGCCAATTATTGATATTAGCCCTTTTCGAATAAGCCAATTGTAATGGTCAAAGAACAACCCCCCCTTGCTTCTGTGGCCTTCTCCTTTAATAGACTGTACCAGCTATTCGAGGTCTCTCGGCTTCCCGAATGCTGAGGGACCCTGTCATGACAGAATTAATAAAATTCTCATGCTTTTGCATCAGCTATGGTGTGATGGGTGGTCTCTAGGAGCGACTCCTTCTCGGTGTTTGGACACTAGAGTCCAACAAAATATCCATATTTTAATCGTGATAAAATTCTGGGAGACACAGGCATTCCCTTTCCCTCTGTCTGATGCCTGGAATTTCTGCAGTCCTTGAGGCAGACTAAGAAGAAAGGGAGGAGAAGGCACAAACAGTTTCCAGAGTCAGTTACAGAAGAAAGGCCAGACCCAGAACCCCTTAACAATGGAGTGGGTAGGAGAGAAGATGTCACTTTTTTTTCACAACTTCACACCATACAACTGACAGGCTCCGAGAGTCTGTTACAGGCGTGTTAACAGGACTATGTGGTATAGTAGAAACGGTAGGTTGAGTCAGTCACCTCTGAGTTCAATTATAGTTTTTCTTATTAACTAATTCTGTGCACGTCAGCAACTTTGGGCTTGATGTGAGGATTAAATACACACACACACTCATGCGCACTAGCCTGTGCAATCACTACTGAGCTAAGAACACCCTTTCCAGGCAGGCCAGACAAAGGACTGACTTGCTGATCACCAGAAAAGCTATGAAAATGCTCAGCACAGTGGCGTTAAGTGAATGGGCTTCACTCCTCCAAAGTTTCCCGGGAAAGCTACGGAAGAATAAGGATTAGGGTGGAGGTGGGGTTGGCGTGGTGTCACACGCCTTTAATACTAGTGCTTTCGAAGCAGAGGCAGGCCTCTCTGAGTTTAAAATCAAACTGGTCTCTGGTCAAGCCAGGCGGTGATAGCACACGCCTTTAATCCCAGCACTCGGGAGGCAGAGGTAGGTGGATCTCTGTGAGTTCAAGGCCAGCCTGGTCTACAAGAGCTAGTTCTAGCATAGGCTCTAAATCTATGGAGAAACCAAGTCTCAAACAAAACAAAACAAAACAAAACAAACAACAACAACAACAACAACAACAAAAAATCAATCTGGTCTACTTATTGTTCCAGGCCAGTCAGTAAGACTTTGTCTTGAAAAAGGGTGTGTATGTGTGGGGAGGTGAGAGTTGGGAGGGAGACTGGAGAGAGGGCTCAGTGGTTAAGAGCACTTGCTGCTTTTGTAGAGGACCTGGGTTTGGTTATCAGTACCCAGATGTTGGCTCACAACCATTTGTAACTCCAGTTCCAGGGATCTAATGTCCTCTTCTGGCTTCTGTGGGCACCAAGTACACATATGGTGTATGTACATGCAGGCAGGCACTCATACATCCACATAAAATAAAAAAGATAAATCTTAGAATAGGGGGAGTGGGGAGCAACCCACAGGCATCTCCCAGGTAGCAAACTGATGAGCTGCTGGTAGATGGGGGAGAGAAGGAGGTTGCTGAATTGCTGTTTGGACCGCGAGGGCATGGAGGAGGTTGGGGTTTCGGGAATGTCTTTTTCTCCAGCCTTGCTCTATAAGCACCTAAACTCTCACAGCCACTTCTGGCCCACCCAAGTGCTTGTGTGCTTCGGTCCTCTCAGTTAATGCTTTGCTGGCTCAGGGCCGCCAGCTGTGCTCACCTGTCAGGGACAGCTTGAGCTAGGAATCTTGCAGCAAGTGGAGTCTCCTCCTAGCAAGGGCAACAGCAGCCACTAGAAAGCACATGGTGTTTTGTGAGGTGGGCAGGGACTCAGCAAGGAGGAAGGAAACTAAGGACATTGGGTAGATGCTGCAGCCAAGAGAAAAAGGCTCCCTGGGGCTGCATGACTCCATTTGTCAGTCTCTCCTCCTGTTCTCCCTGCCTCCTTTTTCCTCCTCCCTTTCTGATGCTGATACTGTCACTGTCTAGAGCTCCCAGCATCTCTGTACTTTGGGGCTCTGTCCTCTGTTGGGAGCGCACTGTGCGCAGTCAGCAATTCTACCTCTCACTCCAGTTCCTCTTTGAGGTGACATTTATTCACATTTATCCAGGGACAGCTTCCCACTAGGGCCACACTAAATCCAGACGAGGGAGCCAAGGCTGGTGTGAAGCATCCGGGCAGCTGCTGCCCTCTTCCCTCCACTTCTCACTGTGGCTTACAGGGCTCCCAGTCCTTGCTCCCAGCTGCATTCTGTCTGTTGGCCGTTTTCTAGGAGAACACTAGGCTGACTGAAGATGTGAAGCAGGAGATTCCTGCATAGGGATCCCTTCAAAGGTGGGGGAATCTTGCCTTCTTTGGCTCCAGAGAACCGGGTAAAGAGGAGCAAGGAGGGCTGAGCTCTGCAGGCCTTTGGGCCCCCTCACCCTTTGGGCCAGGCTTCGTTAGGTGGAGCCAGACGACTAATAACTGAACAGGGAGGGAAGTTGAGAGGGGAAGAAGTAGATAGAAGTAAATAAAGTTCCAGAGATCGTGTTTCATTCCCGCGGCCACTATGGTGGCTTTCAACAGTCAGGAAGGCTCCTGCAGACAGAGTGCCAGAAGGTAGTCAGTCAGGCCACATCTGCTGAATCCTTGACTCTAGTCCCTTCTGGCACCCGGGATCGCTGACTAAATTTGGCACTGGGTAGCAGGAGAGAAAGGGAAAATGCCTGCATGATGAACGGACTCTCAGCAGTTTGCGGTACTTCCGAGCTCCACTTCTGAGATTATCTCACGGTTGTGTTTAGCAACTGGTCCTGTAAGTGTGTAAGAGCAGACTGGAGCCTTGTGTTGCTTTCCTGCCTGGGGGTGCCAAGTGGGGGCTGTCTGAGTCTGCAGCTCCCTGGGGCCCTGGGTGAAGAGGTGACAACGCTGTCCTCAGCTAGAGCAGTTCTCAGAATGCAGGCCACAGGTGCTGTTTGACAGGACGCTGTGGGTCAAGAGACTTTAGTCTGCCTTTCCCTTTGGCTTCTGAAGTGGACTTGGGGAGTTTTCAGTGTGGAATAATAATCAGAATAACTTGGCAGTGACCCGGTTACCCCCAGAATTCTTATCCCCAGAAGGCCGAGGTGCCACAAAATCAAAAGTCATGTGGTGCTTGACCCGGCCCTTGCCTTTGCTCCAAAGGGCAATCAGACCGAAGCAGAGGGTCACTGAGGTGAGGAAGGGGAGAAAACCCACTGCCAGCACCATAACCACACCCCTGCTGTCCAGAAAGAAAGGCCCTGGGATCCCTGGCATGGTGATGTTGGGGTCAGAGACCGTGCCATTGGATGGTTCGACTTGGATAACTTCCAGCCAGGTCCTCAGGGAGTCATTCCCAGCGACATTGCTGACTACACAGACATAGGCTCCCCTGTCCCGCAGCTGCACCGAGCGAATCTCCAGTGTACCATCCTCTAGGACCCTTACTCTCCCAGCTCTTCCCAGCCAAGCTCCCTGAGGCCTCATCCAGGAGACCGTGGGGGCTGGATCTCCATCTCCAGAGCAGGAGAAGACAGCATAGCCTCCCTCCTCTGCAATGACCCACCGAGGCCCTGACTTTCTGATCAGGGCTGGTTTGCAAGTGAAGTGGCCTGGAGGGAGGATGTCTGAAAACTCCCTTAGGCTTTTCCCTTGGACGTGTTGGGGGCCAGCACACGCAGGGGGGGAGGTGCCAAAGTCCAGGTGGCGCCGGAGGCGGAGCAGCCAGAGGAGCCGGCAATCGCAGGTTAGGGGGTTACCGGACAGCCTCAGGGTGACCAGTTTGTCTGGAGAAGGAAAGGCTGTTTCCTCTAGAGTCTGAAGAGAGTTGTCCGCTACATCCAGCAAGTGGAAGGCAGTTAGGCCGTGGAAGGCATGCGCAGCGATGGAGGTGAGGCAGGCCCCTGACAATCTGAGCTCCTGGAGCCTGACCAGGGGACTGAGCCTTCTGGCTGGGATGGCTGAGATAGGATTCTGAGACAGATCCAAGACCCGGAGGAAGCTCAGATGGTGTAGTGCTTGGAAGGGTACTGAGCTCAGATTGCAGCGGGTGATGGCCAGGGTGCTCAGATTGAGCCCAAGCAGGCTCCCTGGGTCCAGGGCCTCCAGAGATGGCCAGTGGTGGATCTCCAGCTCCTTTAGCTGCCCTAGCCCTCGAAGTGCCCCAGCTGGCAGCCTCTCAATATCCAGTTCTCGGAGTCTGAGAGTCACTAGTGCTGGGAGCTGGGCAAGGGCTAGGCCCGGCACTGTGCTGAGGTTGCAGCGTTCCAGGGTGAGGGTACTTAGCTTGGCCAGCCCTGCAAAGGCCCCAGGAGCCACAAACACCAGGTGATTGTCTCCAACCTCCAGTTGCTGGAGGCTGCCTAGCTCACCAAAGGCTCCATCTAGGAAGAGCACAATCTGATTGAGGCGGAGGTCCAGCAGTGTGAGAGCAGATAGGCCTGAGAAGATCCCAGGACCCACGATTCTCAGTCGGTTGCCCTGGAGCCGCAGGGTGAGTAGATTCTGTAAGCCATGGAAGGCCCCAGGCTCAAGGGTAGAGAGCTGGTTGTAGCTGAGGTCCAGTTCTTGGAGCCGGCCCAGTCGGGAGAGCATGCCCCGCTGAAGCCCCCACAGGCGGTTTCTACTCAGGTCCAGGAGCTCTGTGTCCAGTGGAAGCCCTCCAGGGACAGCATCCAGTCGCCTGTGGGCACAGAGTACGGCCCGGGTTTGGGAGGTGCAGTCACACACAGCAGGGCAGCTACTGTTGCTCCCTCCAGGTAGGAGGAGCAGGAAAAGGAGTGGGGGCCACGGAAGCCAGGCTTGCTTTGGAGCTGTGGCTGCGTCCATCCCCCGAGGCCTGGAATAGATGACGACATGGCCTTTTTTGCAAAGCGGCTTCAGAAGATGATGACCCTGCGCTCCCCTGAGCCTCCTTAAGGGGAGGGAAAGTGACCTATTGACTCCATCTTGCCAGCGAGTGTGTCATACAACCGGGAAACCCGGGAAACCTGTACGTCCTCCCTGGGGCTTCTTAAGCTTCCTCCTATGGGGAAATCTCTCCCTTGCAGCCCTGGATGACCAGCCATGAACTTCCCAGGCATGGGTCCCTAGTCCAGCTGGTTTCTGCAGTGGAAGGCTTAAGGGACTGAGTGGTAGGGAAAGAACTTTCCCTGCATCCCCCTTCTATTCATGAGACCAGGAATACCTTAGGTCCTGTTTCTGTGACATCCGTTCTCTGCAGTCAGAACTCTGTTCTGTTCCTCTCATCATCCCCCCCGACCCCCTTTGGCTTGTTTGTTTGTTTTTTTGAGACAGGGTTTCTCTGTGTCACAGCTCTGGCTATCCTGGAACGAGCTCTTGTAGACCAGACTGGCCTCGAACTCACAGAGATTCCCCCTGACTCTGCCTCCTGAGCACTGGGATTAAAGGTGTGTGTCTCATTCTTGTCCTCCTGTATTTTGTGCCTACAACATTACCTAAGTCTCAGGGAGATCCCATCCAGACTCGAAAGAGGTCCTCACCTTGACAGTCATCAGAAGCAAAGGGATATACACATTTCAGCTCTGCTCCAGTCTTTGCCCTCTTCCAGCCTGGCCCAGGGCCCAGGCTCTGGACTAGCCAAGTTGGTGTACCCAGAATGTGTGGATGACAAGCCTGGCTGTGTATTAGCTACGGAACAGAGTGCAGCGGCACTGGATGAGGAGATTGGGGATCCCTTACAAGAGCCCCAAGGACAGCACCTCTTCCTTCATAGAGAGATTGGGATGTGGAAACTATCCAAAGGGTGTTGAGGTTTTGCTTTGGGCTTCTCTTCTGTCCACCCTTATTGGGGTTTTGAATCTGTGCATCTGCAGGAGAGCTTGGACCCCTTTCTGCCTGAGTTGCCTGACAAGACCCTAGAAATGTGATCCAAGGAAGCATGGATAAAGAGGGAGAGACAGCAATGACCAGATGCCATTGGGTGGGAGGAAGGGGACCACTGGCTAGCATTGCAGACACCTGGATATAAGCAATGCACAGCACCCATCTATATACAGTGGGTCTCTGGGTACCAGAAGCCTGGGCAGTATCATGGTGACCATGACAGCTCTTAGAGGCTGGACAAGGTGATAGAGACAAAGGCATCTTAAATGCTGAGTGCCTCTGCTTGCCTTGCTAATGCATAGGGACCTCAAGAGAGAGGAATATTAGAGTTAGAAAGACACGGCCAAGGGACAGGAGTGGGACAAGCCGACATTCCTGCAGGCCGCCAGCTGTGCTCCCCTGGCTGCAGGTCCTGCACCTCTGGACTTCGGGGCTTCAGGTTTTTTGGGTCCTGTGGAGTCAGCTTTCTGCTGCATGTCCTACTTTCTTCCATGTGGAACACAGGAGGAGCTGTGGCTTCCCTTTCCTTCCTACACTCTGGAAAGTCTCTTCCAGCCACTTCAGAGGACCATAGCAGCTGGGCAGCTAAAGATGCCGAGTTCAATCCTCAGTATGGACGCTAGCGGAAAGAGCAGGGGATGAGGGGTGTGGGAAACTGTTGTGGGGTGATTTGGGGAGGGGAAAGAGTTGGCAAGGGGCAACGACTGCTAAATCTGCTCCCGATCCTTTCACAGTTATCTCTGGGGTGCTAAGATTCTCAGCCTCCCCCCTCCCTGGGCCTGTTCTGGGAAGTCCACCTGACAGCTAGCTTGTCATCTCTGTTGCTGCAGTTCTTGCTCATCCTTTGCTCTGCATTCAGCAAGAGTGCAGTGAAGCATGTATGCCAGCTCCCTTCCTTCCTGCTTCCATGAGTTTCCTCCTGGTCCCCAAAGCCTGCTGGCCCAGTGGCTGGGGGACTTCTGGTCAACATCTTCTATTTATAAGGTGGCTAACTGAACCATAGTCTTCCTTTCTTATCCTCTGTGGCTGCAGGACTGGCCTCTGGTCACTTTGCAGGGAGATCAGTCTCTCCCTCTGGAGTCTGGGGCATTGTTCCCTCGGGGACACAGAGCTTTTCCCTCCTGTCTCTATGTGACTGTCACAGACCCATATGAACACGTCCAGTTTAAAGTACACCTGACTGAGGCGTAGGAACCTGCATGGAGGGGAGTCACTTAGGAGAGAGATTTTTGGAACACCCACACTGACTGTGGGGGGAAAACCCTTTGTAGGGGTAGAAGGAACTCTAGGGAGAAGGAGGGTGGTCTCTTTGGAGTCCTCCCCACCATGGTTACCTGGGGCATTTTAGTTTTCCAATCACAGTCCTGTGGGGCAGGGTGAATGGTTGACTGGGGTTGGGGTGCAAGCTCCCTTTCCTTTACAGGCACAGTTAGCCTGGCTTTGTCTTTGAGAATGCCGTGGGAAAGGGCAGCTGAGACTTCCGCAAAGAGGGCAGGGGCACTTACCGGAGAAGCTGGAGGGTGGCACCAAGTTGGGCGCTGTATCTCTCCGAGGCTGGGGCCTGTCCCATTCGAGCTGCACCTTGGCCCCTCCAGCTCCCCTGTGAGTATGACTTCCCACTCCCCAGCAGGCTGCAGCATCAGCCCGCCGGCGGGACTGCTGTGGCTGCCGCCGCCTCTACTGTTACTGCGGCCGCGCCGCCAAGACCAAGAGAGAGAAAGGAGCCAGAAAGCATTTCTTCTCTCTCTCTCTCTCTTTCTGTCTCTCGCTCTCTGTCTCTCACTCTCTGTGTCTCTTTCTCTCTCTATGTGTCCCTCTCTCCTCTTCTCTCTTTTTAAACCAGGCGAGAATGAGTCTGCAGCAACCCTGTTGGTGCAAAATAAATAAATAACGCGACCAGGGAGGGCTGCAGCAAGCGCCACTACGGGATGACGGAATGAGGTGCGGGAGGAGGGAGAGGAAATGAAGAGGGGACTCTGGGGCTGGGGCAGGGTCTGCCACTGAGACTTCCTGGGAAGCTTGAAAGACTTCTGACATCCTGATTCCTCCTGGGTAGCTAGAGAGCTCCCGGGACTCTGACTCCGCTTCCACAGCTTCTAGTCTCTTAGATGCAGGGCAATTCTGTGCAATCTCTATATCTAAACGGGCCTGTGGGTATCGTTTGTCGGAAGTTTTCAGTCCAGAATATCTTTCTGCAGCTTAGTTTGTCATTCCTCCAGTGCTGGGTACCTGAGCATCAGTTTCCAAGTCCCCCAGAGGGACTGCTTAGTTTGGGGAAGAGTCTGGGGGGCTAAAATTCCTGTAAAACATATGGATTACTGACTTGACACAACGACAATACTGCAGAGCAAGCGTGTATCCTGGGTAGTCGCATTTAGGTCTCCCACCACCCAACTCACGTGCCCTGCACCTTTGCACAAGTATGCACACATGCGCACGTGCACACACAGAAACACACATACAAATTCCAGCCTTTAAAATCATTTTATAAAGAATGCACAAGTAGGGTTTTATGCTTATCTAGCTAAACCCTTCCCTGAGAGGAAAAAAAAAAATCTCCCTCCCTCTCTTCGGCTGCTTCCACCTCCTAGGAGAGTCTGCAGCTTTACAAAGCCGAGAGAAGTTCTGAGCAAGATTACGGAGGAGAAATAAGTCCCTGCCCTGTCCCGTCATGCTGGAGTCAGTGGCCCGCAGGCACAGAGCAGGGGGCAGTGTTGCCTTCTTTCTTCATAGAGAGAGCAGGATAGAGGCTGAGGGCAAGGGCATCCTTCCAGAGCCGGCAGGTCCTTGGGTGTCTCTGGCTCATCAGAATCCAGTCCTCTGCTTCTCTTAGGGATAGTTCTTGGGACAAAAGACAGCTGGAGCTGGGGTAGTATGCTCTGACATCCTGTAGACCTAAGACCCCTCGCCTCCCGGGAGGTTGTCATTGGAAACGTGTCTACAAAGGTGTGTTACTGCAGGCAGAGTGGCTCTGTGCTCCATCTGTGTGTGCGGATGTCTCTGATTAGATTGTGCTAACAAAGCTGACTTTCAAAGTGCACACAGAGGTTCGCATTCTAATTCCGCCAATGATGGTCTCGGCTTCCACTGTTCCCTCTCTCCACACCCGGTATCCTGGCCCCTCATTTCTACCCCATCATTACTCTTTACATATCCAGGTATTTTAGGTCCCAGAAAAAGGGCAGGGTGGCGAACGACTTCTTTACTGAACTAAGAAGGAGGAAGGCAGAAAAATCTCGAGGATCTCGATACTTGTTCTGTACCGGTCTTTCTGGCTGCTGGCCACCACCAGTCTGAGTTAGATCCATCTCCCCCCGCTGGAGCCCACGGGGAAGTACAATGAGGTATTCTAAGGAAGGTGTTAGCTTTCAAGCTCAGAACTGAGTTCTCTTCATCCTGGGTATCTGGATTTATCCCTCTGTTCCTTTGACGTGGTCATCCTCCAGGCCTTTATGTCCCATCGACCCCACACCTTCCGGAAGCCAGGGTGGAACTTATGGGAAATCAAACAAAACAAGCCTTTTCACCGTCACCTGCTACTGTTTCTCTGCCAGGCAAGCCTGGGGGCAGAAAACCAGGCTTAGCATTTGCTCACTCCTAGGGAGACCACCCCCTATAGAGCGCAGGAAGGGGGGGAGGCTGAGGGAGTCCGGGGAGACGGGCCCTCCATCAGCTGAAGGAAGCAGACAGTTGTCTGTCCTGGGGTCGCTGGGTTAGCCCCGCGGGGGGCTCAACGTCAGCACTGAAGAGCTCCTTGTAGAGAGGAGGGAAGGCAGCTTGGACCACGATGGGGTGGAGCCGCTGGAAGAGCTGCAGCTTTTCCACGTGTTGGCTGCACAGGCTCCGGAGTTTCCCTTTGGGTGGCAGCTGGAGATGGGTTAGGAGGGATTGAGAGTCAGGGTTTGCCAGAGCAAAAATGTCTTCTTGCTGTTGTTGAGTTAGGATACCCCTCCCTGCCGCTCCCTCCACCCCCAGCAGCTGATCCCGCTGGTTAGATATACGTACTTCTGGATTTGGTTTTGAAAGTCACATCTGCACCCTCAGCACTGTGCCTGGCTTAGCAAGGCCATGCTTGGCTGATGGCATAAATGGTTCTGCCTACCCCCAAATTGACTTTACCCCATGACTTTTTGCCTTGGTTCATGTTATTTCCTCTCTCTCTCTCTCTCTCTCTCTCTCTCTCTCTCTCTCTCTCTCTCTTTTTCAAGACAGGATTTCTTTGTAACTTCTGTAGCTTCAGAGCCTGTCCTGGAACTAACTCACTCTTGTAGACCAGGCTGGCCTCGAACTCACAGAGATCCGTCTGCCTCTGCCTCCCAAGTGCTGGGATTAAAGGCGCGTGCCACCACCACCCAGCTTATTTCCTCACTTGGAATACCTTCTTAACTCTCCTTTGTTTCAAGTGTTATCTCCTCTGAGACCACCTTGCCTCCCTGCACCCCCATCCCTTGCTGGGTTAAAGCCCTTCTTTCTACAGGCTTTCTTCCACGTAGTACTTGCCACAAATTGGATGGCCAATTTGTCTGCCATCCACTCCACATTTACTTAGGTAAGGTCCATCTATCTTTCCCCACTAGGTATCTTCCGTTCTTATAACAAGGCTGGCACAAATGCCCAGCAACTGCTTGTTTGAACTAAACAGAGTTTTGAAGCAGGTACCCAACATAGCAAACATAAATCAATCTAGTCAGTCTTCACCCGAAGGAAGGCACAGAAGGCCCTGGGATAGAGGCAGGGAGAAAGACCAAGACACCATCATTCCTATGCAACTTCCAGCACAACCAAGGGAGACTTAAAACCACCTCTTTATTGCCATCTTCCCTTCCTGCTTAGCTCCCTAGAAAAGCGCCAGTCAGAGGAAAGCAGCAGGGTGACTCCCCCACATATCTCGAATTTTTTGTCTTTTTGTGTTTTAGTGCTTTTGAGTTTGCCTGGGTTACTACAATAATTTCTTTTATTTATTCAAAAGATATTTGTTGAGAAACTTGACAAATTTAAATAGAGCACTGTTAGGAGCTTTGCTGCAACATCAGGGAATAGAAACTGTATTTTTATTAGCTGGACACAGCAGCCAGGGATCCCTAAATACAGCTATATGCTGCCTGACAACTTTTTAGGAATTAGGAACCTCTAACTACAGTGGTTCCGTAGGGTTACAGGGACAGAGGCAGTGTAGCTGTGTGTGTTTGCGAGTTCATCCTGTGGTCCCCCACAATGTGAAGCTATCTGTGTTCTTAGAACACATTCCTGTCGGTATACAGCACACAGCTGTATTTATTAGTGCTGAAGCAGGATGAGGGATGGAGTCCTTCTCCTAATGGGTAGTTGTTTAGGGAAAAACCTTTCCTGAATGAAGGCTTGAAGAAAACATTTGTAAACTTAGAGGGAATCCTACAGGAGACAGCGACAGGTACAAAGGCCCTGAGAGATGGGACCAGCCATGGTCTCCTGAAGGACTAGTAAAGAAAGTATGGTCAAAGTACAGGAGCCCAAAAAGTGGTACGAAGTCAGGTAGGAAGAAAGTAGGGTTGACGTGATGGTTCCTTTGACCATAATACAGACTCTAGAGTTGAATATTTGGCCACCACAGGAGGGTAGGGAACAAAAGAGGCCCATGATGGTCTTGCCTCCTTAGAGGGGCCAGCATGGATACTGAGTGAGTGCTGTGTGACTCTGACATGGCAGACATAGGTAGGGTGGGAAGTTGAGTTGGGAGTTTAATAGTCTGATAGCTGGAATGTGTGGATTTTTTTCTTTTGGTTTCTCGAAACAAGATTTCTTTGTAGCTTTGGTGCCTGTCCTGGAATTAGCTCTTGTAGACCAGGCTGGCCTCGAACTCGCAGAGATCCGCCTGCCTCTGCCTCCCAAGTGCTGGGATTAAAGGCGTGCGCCACCACTGCCTGGCTTTTTATTTTGGTTTTTTAAGACAGGGTTTCTCTGTAGCTTTGGAGCCTGTCCTGGAGCTAGCTTGCTGGCCTCAAACTCACAGAGATCTGCCTGCCTCTGCCTCCTGAGTGCTGGGATTAAAGGCGTGTGCTACCACTGCCTGGCCATGTGATGTTTTTAAAGTGGATCCTTCTGGGCGTGGTAGTACCTGATCTTAGTTAGTACTTGGGAATGTGGATAGGAGGATCGTGAGTTCAAGGCCAACCTTGGCTACGTGACACCCTGTCTCAGAAAATAACACAAAACACACCAAAGTGGATTTAACCACATTTGCATTCCAAATGCTTTCCTAGGCCTAGTCTCTTCTTTAAATCTATTTTGCTGTAGATTGGAGGTTACATTTCTTAGGGAGAGATTGTTTGGATAACTTCCGTATCTCAGTACTAGCATGATTGTGTGCCACAAGGGCCTAGGTGGGTCCTTTACAAAGTAAATTCCCTAATGACAGATCTGAATACGGCATGGCTCTAGTCGGCAGGGTTCCCCATTGTGTGGCTCTAATTGTCCCCATTGCATGGCTCTAGTCGTCGGGGCTCCCCATTGCCTAGAAGCAAGGCCTTTACTCTTCCTATGGCACTGAAAGTCTTTGCGGTTCCTGTTCCTCACAGTTTTAGGCCTACCTTCTGTTCCTCTTCAGTCTACTCCAGCTTCTGGTCTCACATTTACCAAAAAGTACCATGAGAGCTGGGGAGACAGCTCAGTGCAGGCCTTCGAGGATGAAGACCTGAACTCAGTTTCCAGAACCCACAGAAAGGAAAACAGGCGAAAGCTGTGTGTGGAGGTACACTCCTTTA